TTGTCACTTTATCAGTGGCTGGGAAAGACACAGTCTGTTGTGCAAAGTTACAGTTCGGACAGTTTCTTGAAGTGAAACCAGGCGCAGAACATCTGAAACAATAAGTCTCTTGCTTATTTTTGCTTTTCTGCAATACTGGAACATTTCGGCTGCCAGGGCCGAGAGCGGAGTGCAGCTCGTGTGCACACATTACGAGGTCTATGACTGAAGTAATTTGTGCGCCGTACAGAGCAACTCTGTAGCGCTCAAGTGCATGCTTGCAGATAAGATCAATCTGCTCCTGTTCTGGTGGAGGAGACTTTAGTTTCTTGAATTCAGACAACAAGTGTGCTACAAACGTAGGGAATGGTTCTCCTTGAGCTTGTACACAGTCAAGAATACCTCTCCAGACACGCTCTTGGTTATCCGCTGGAAGAAACACAGTCTTGAACAGGGTGCAGAACTGTGTCCAAGATGTTACATGTGCACTCAACACTGTAAACCACTTCCTGGGTTCTTTAGCTAAGAAACGTGGTAGTTCGAGCAAAATTTGAGCATCGCTGAGACCCAAAGAATTTCTGTAGGCATCCACGAGAGGAAGCCAGTCATCAGCTTGAATTTTCTCATCATTTCCAAACACTGGGGGCTCCAGTCTCGATTGATGCAAGACGGAGGCCAAAGTTCTGGTTGCATTATTCAAATCATAAGAGCTTTGAGCCAGGCCAAACGCATTTTCGGTTCTGGCGTTCATTTCTACTCCAAAGGACCGAGGCCCCTGTGTGTGACCAGCTGGTGCTTGAGCATGTGGAGTAGACGAAGCAACAGGCCTGACTTGTGAAGGCAACTGGTATGAAGCAGGTACATGCAAGTTTTCTGTGCAACGGTCAATAATACCTCTTTGCAAATCAAGAGACTCACTCAGGCACCTCCGCAGCATTTCCACTTCCTCCTTCAATGACTCAACTTGCGTCTCCAGGCGCTCCCCTGACCCAGGCACTGCCACTGGCGCTCTCCGTCTGGCAGGAAACTCAAAGCATGCAGATAGGTCAAATAAATCAGTCTCGTCATCAACACGTCTGGCCATTATATCAAAATCAGTTTGTCAATATGAAACTCCAAACAATGAATTAGTAAAATATCATTCAACAAACAATTCCAACATGCATTAATTTCCTGTACGTGAGTAACAAAGCAAAGCAAAGGTAATAAACAATTTGATACCCTTTTCAAAAGAAGAAAGAGAAAAACCTTTTTAAACAACCATATGCTTCATTTGTACTTTTTTTTTTTTTTTTTTTTTTTTAGTTCCTTCGATGAGTAACGTGTGAGCGTCGAGTAGTTATTACCCACAGACAACTCACAGCAGAGGTTCAGGGAAAAATCCAGTGCAAAAAAAAAATCTCAAGTTCAATTCAACCAGTTCAAAATTCAGTTCCAGCAGATGAACACAAAAGAACGTAGCAACCAGGCCTGAATCCCCGAAACAGTCAAAGTTCACAAACGGACTAATTTCCGATTACCTCAACGAACAATCCAACGTGCACACTCCAAATTCACAAAGATTGCGTCCATGACGCCTTAAATCCACTGGAATGTAAAGAAATATCCTCTGCGTCAGCAACACAAAATGTCTGCCCCAGCTTCGTCGAGCGACTCGGGCCTTACACGCATACGCAGTGAAATTGTCCTCGTGTAAACTCACACATGACCGGCTGGATGTTCACAGCATTCTCGGAGTCTTCCGTCACAAACCGGCTCGTCGTCCGTGTCCTCGCATTAAATCCAAGGCCAGAGATAAAATGTTCGGGCGCCACTTGTAACGCGCTGCTTCAGGAAGAAGGAGAAGGATAGCTCACAACTGAAGATATTACGTGCGGAGGCCAGACAGACTCACGGAGGCGATGTGCATCTCAACTCGTGCTTTATTCCACATCGAACTCGTGCAGCATAACTATCTGTCGCACGTCCTTCCGTCCACATCGTTACTTAACAAGCAAAAGTAAAATAATATAAAAGTCGGCATCAAACAGAAATTAGAATTACACACATGGGGTGTTCGAGGCACACGGCATATAGCACATACAATACCAAATAATGTCGAACCTTCAACCGGAGCGCGCAGCTCTTAAAGGGGCCACACCCTACCTTCACTCGTCACAGATTCTTAAAGGGGTCACACCATATTTACACTCGTTACAGACTGAAAGTTTCAACCCTGGTCTCTGATGTTTAGCTTGGACACCCCATGCCATTTTCCAATCTAACATATCTTGAGTACATTTTCTACTGCTTGTGTAAGTGATTTGAGGAGACAAGCACAGTGTTATAGAGCACAACACTCTCTGTTTGACCTTGTAAATATGTGAAGCCTTTAAACAGTTATTTTTATTCGCTGTTATGGTTTATTGATAATTAAGATCAGGCCTTGTTTTTCACATTCAGTGATATAAACAAATATATCATCTTTTATCTAAACGTCCTGTGTAGTATTTTTGCAAATGCTAATTAACGTTAGCTGTTATTGTGAAATTTCATCTCTTATGTAACGTGCAGTAAAAAACAGACAACAGCGGGTTTCAAGAGCATTTCATGAAGCTACAGATAGTGTGATTTTGATGACTATAAATTGGTGCTGAATGTCTCTGACATTGTTACTTTCTCTTTTTTTTTTATGTCTAGTCTTAGTTTTCATTGTCATTGTTTGGTTTATTCCTAATCACTCATCTGTTGTCATAGTTTCCAATTAAGTACTCATCTGTTCCCAGTTCCTTTGATTGGTCTCCCTGTGTATTTTAGCCCTTAGTTCCTTTTGTTCAGTGTTCAGTCTCGTTAAAAATCAGTGTGGTTGTACTAAACTTGTTCCTGTGATCTCCTGCGTGTTCTTTGTTACATTTTTGGATTTATTAAAGACTGTTTTTGTTGTCTTTGTGCGCTCATTACAGCCACAATGTGACAGAAGACCGAACAAGAAATAGATCTTCCTGCGGTCAGATTGCTCTGCTTAGGGCAGAAAAAATAACAACCTTGAGGACCACACGAGTGGTCCTGGCGTGCCTTTTTTTAGACCTGGCGTGCCTTACCACCTTCCCTGACCGCTCCCTGTGTGTGTTTTTCCTGACCAGCTTAAATGAGCGGTGTAAGGCAGGCCTAATGGTTCTCGAGGGAAATTGACTGCATTTGTGGAGTGGGTGCTGGCTAACAACAACTCTCCTATGACCATCGGCCTCATGGATGAGGAGAACGCCAGCCACACTCCTGACCCAGAGACCCAGCTGCCAGCCACCAACAACACCCAACATACTGTTTATGCCTGAGTCCACCTCAGACACAGAGCCCTATCCCTCCATGGATAGAGCGCCAGAGCCGACACCTGAGCCATACTTCGCCCCGGAGCCTGAGCCCAATAGTATGTCTGACCAGGTGACATCGTCAGTATCAGTGGGTGTCATCGAGGAGTTCGAGGGAATGGAATAGAGCCCTGCCTATACTCCTGTTGCTGAGGGTGAGCTTTGCAAGGTTTCTGTGTTATTGTTTGAAGAAGAGGGATTTCTCCTGGGTCTCCTATCCCCGCCGGTCCCACTAAGCTCCAAATCTCCTGCATCTCCATTGGTCCCACCCAGCTCCAAATCTCCTGCATCTCCATTGGTCCCACCCAGCTCCAAATCTCCTGCATCTCCATTGGTCCCACCCAGCTCCAAGTTTCTTTCGTCGATGATGGTCCCACCTAGCCTCCCTCTCCCTCCTCCTCTACCTATGCCAACCAGTCCTTCTTCCCCGCTTCCTCTGGCTCCCTTCAGTTTCTCTGCATCTCCTCTGTTTACTCTGCTGTGCGGATCCAGGTCGGCAGCTTCGCCTTGGCACGTGGATCCCCTGTTTTGGCTCGGGCTGCTAAGTCCATCACTCCACCTTGGCCCGTCAACCAGCCGGCTCCACCTTGGGTCCAACCACCCCCACCCCACCCCCAACGGCTCCACCTGGAACCATCGTCCTTACGGCTTCACCGGGCTTCCTTGTCCCTCCGGCTTGGCCTTGGTCAGTTGTCACTCTGCCTGCGCCATAGAATTCCGGCCCTTCGGCTACACCTCGTCCCTCCACCCCTTCCGCTCTGTCTGGCTCCGCTTTCCCTCTGGCTCAGCCTTGGTCCTCAGTCACACCAGCTCCACCTCAGTCCTCTGGCACCCTGTCTTCTCCTCGGCTATGTCTGGCTCTCCAAATCTCCTGGCTCCACCACTGGTGGTTGGACCGCTGACTTCACCCTGGCTCCTGCCACCATCGGTTCCACTTGTCCTCCTTGCAGTGCTCTGGGTTCCCACCTGGCTCCTCCTGCAATCATCTCCTCCCTGGCTCCTCCTTTGTCCTGGGTTGTCCCGTCTGCAAGTTTTGCGTCCTCCTCCTAAGCCCCCGCCCATTCTCCTCTTGTTTTGTAGTTTGCACGAGGACATACCTTCCCACGGAGGGGAGGGGTAATGTCACATCCTTGTCTTGTTTTGTTCTGTCTAGTCTTAGTTTTCATTGTCATTGTTTGGTGTAGTGCTAATCACTCATTTGTTGTGGGTTTCTAATTAAGTACTCACTTGTTCCCAGTTCCTTTGTGTATTTAAGCCATTTGTTTTTTATGTTAGTGTGGTTGTGCTAAACTTTATTCCTGTCATCTCCTGCATGTTTCTTGTTAAATTTTTGGATTTATTAAAGATCTCCTTCGTCTTCGTGCGAACACAATGTGACAGACATTTTTATGTGTGTTAAATATTTTTATGCATCTCCAGCACATCTCCATCTCCAGTGTATATATATATATATACATACACACACACACACACACACACACACATAGAGAGTAAACACAAGAACACTGATTCATTTTAAAATTCTGATGAATGAACACAGAACTGGCTATTTTTAATTCCATTAACTCTTTTATAGTTATGCTTTGACTTTTGCTAACCTAGTGTTTTTTTTTGTTTGTTTGTTTGTTGGATGAAGGGCAGAAATAACCTCACTCCTCTTCTCTTCTCCTCTAGCTGGATGAAGAAACCCAGATGTGGGGTGCCAGACCAGCTTGAGGGCGTATCTGGATCCCGCAGGAAGAAGCGTTATGCACTAACTGGACAGAAGTGGCAACGCACACACATCACATACAGGTTAGAGAGAGACATGATGTCTCTGTTAGTGCGAATGCTCTAACAATTTGATCTATAAATATAGCACAGACAAGATCTAAATGTATAACAGCACTCTAAATAAGTTGTTTTAAATGTATAGTATACCCATTTTACATGATTATTTTTATGATATTTATTTTCCATAAGGATATTAAGGAAATTAAGGGATAGTTCACACAAAAATGTTAATTCTGTAAGTATTTAATCACCTTTATGTTGGTCCAAGTGCATATGATGTTCTGCTGGCACTTTACAATAAAGCCCTGTTAGTTAATGCATTAAACTAACAAACATTAAATAGGAAAGAGCAATACATTTGTTACAGTTTTTATGAATCTTTGTTAACATTAGTTGAAGAAAATCCATGTTAGCTAACGTCCATTAAATAATATTAATGTAAATCAATCAAGCATATATTTATTTTCCATAATGATATTAATGAAAACAAATGTTATAATTGGAATTTCAATGCATATGCCATGCATATTTTTATGTTACAATTATTATTCAATTTACATGGACAGTCTTGGATATGTTTTAACATATCGTCTCTGTTGAGCCGAAACATTGCATGTCCAACTGGTACTTTTCAGGAAAGGGAAAAAACACTGTATATTTTTATATATAATTAAACACTGTCGGTGCATTTGAAATCACATACTGTCTTAGTAGTTACCATGAATTCAAATTTACTGTATTACCGTAAAATTTACCGTAATAGTATGTTCTTTAGTATGAATGTGTGTAGTATGAATGTCATCCAAACTTACTATATCCGCTATGTTGTTACTGTCACGTGACATTCCAGCGACAGCTGTGTCGCTTCAAAGCCATTCATAAATCCTCTCCCGTGGCCTCAAGGGATAGTAAAGTGTCCATCGAATGCACACTCCATATATCTCGGCAGAAGTAGTAGGTCATCTGCTCTGTTGGCGTACTTCACATATTATATAGTAGGGAAGTATTCACAGTGGTGTAAAGTATTTGAGTTATTGTAATTAGTTACTGTACTTGAAATCACATACTGTCTGAGTAGTTACCATGAATTCAAATTTACCGGATTGCCGTAAAATTTACCGTAAAAGTATGTTCTATAGTATGAATGTGTGTAGTATGAATGTAATCCAAACTTACTATATCCGCTATGTTGTTACTGGCATTGAAGGTACTAAATCTTATGCGTTTTGCCCTTACTCACCCAAACTTGTCATCAAGGCTACTTTATGTGAACGCGAGTGCATTAGCAGGTAGTTGTCAATTGGCCAAAATTGTTTCCTCAGGAATCACTTAAAATAAGTGGACTGTAACTTTAAGTAAAGTTAAGGCTAAAAGGTTTGGTTACTATTATTTGAGATGAGGAACAGTTTACTGAACCTTGATCAACTAACACCTAATAGTTTGGAACAGCAGACGTCCCTCAAATCGTCCCGTCTCTGCCATCCTACAGTGGATCCTGCACTGCAATGAAGACACAGCCAAGCATATAATAACCTCCAGCATTCACTCTTTAACCTTCAAGAAACATATTTGAATTCCCTGAAGATTACCTTCTAAAGGGCTCGGAGGAAATAGAGTGTTCTCTCACCTCAATTTAGACTTTCCCGGTTACAGCGGGCGATAACGGAAATGATTTATTCAAATCCTGCTTTTTTTAATTGATGGGCCACCTATGCAAATGGAATGTAAATGAAGACAGGCTTGGCAGTGAGTGACTGGCCTCTATAGAGAAAAGTCAGCTGAGACTTTCAGGGCCTCTCAGTCTGTTAGAGGAAGATAAAGACTTCAATGTGGGGAATTCAGCAAAGATGCCAGTCTAAGGGCAGTCGGTGGAATTCACTTTGGAAATGAAAATGCTCTCTCTTTTCTGTGATATTAACTAATCATAATGGTGAAGGGAATTTTACTATGATATTTGATAGTGGTGGATTTCGATCAGTGGGAAGGTTTTGATGTTAATATCTGATTAAACGGAAGAAAAAAAAAATTCTCTAGCCTCTATAGCATCTTCGGTTGCTAGAGGCCAGGGGAGTGAGGTTTACTTGCACAGCTCTTACTAGCTGGCCTCCGTTACACACGATTTGAACGCTAACAAGGACGCTAAAGACCGAATCCTCTAGCGTCAGTCGCTAGTGCATCTCTTTAGGCCAGAGTTTTACACGCACAGCTCTTACTAGCGGGCCTCCGTCACAGCTTTAGGGATTTTTTAATGTTTACTCAACTGGAAAAATTAGTCACATCAGCTTAAATTTGGTCTGTGCTTTCAGCGAACATAACATAAGCTTTATTCAAAAGTAATCATGATGTATACTTGTGGAAGCATTTGAAGCTAAACTAAATTTTAATATTGAATGGAAGCTTGTTTCCACCAGGAAATTTAAAAAATGTAATTGTGTGTTTATTTCTCACAATGTAGGGCTTTTTTTCTTAGAATTGAAAGTTTATTTCTCACAATTGCAAATATATATTTCACAATTCTGTCTTTATTTCTTGCAATTATGAGTTAATAGCTCGCACAAAAAAAGAAAAAAAGTCTTGCAATTGCGAGAAAAAAGTCAAAATTATGATATAAAATGTCACAATTACCTTTTTTATTTTTTATTCCATAGTCGAAACAAGCTTCCATAATATCGCATTACTGATGCAAAATGCTATTTTTGTAGACTTTACACTAAACAACTTAAATTTGTTGTTTGTTGAAACTCATGTATCAGTTAATTTATGTCAATTTATGTAACTTTTAAAAGTTTGTCTGACAGAATGGAAGTTGAAAGTTTTACAGTGTAGAACATGTAAACAATTTTAAATCACAAGTAAAAATATATTTTAGATCCTTTTAGAAATTAAAGGGGATAGTTCAGATCATTTAATCACCCTCATGCTGTTCCAAAATTAGTCTTAATGTTTGCTAGAGAGTTCAACTCCACTGCTAAATAATGATTTTTTTTCTGTTTTTCTTTTCTAGCATTAAAAATGTGACTCCCAAAGTGGGAGCACGAGAAACACATGAGGCCATTCGCCGGGCGTTCGACGTATGGCAAGGCGTCACGCCGCTACGCTTTGAGGCTGTGCCCTACAGCGCTCTGGAGAGCGGCAAACGCGATGTCGACATCACCATCATCTTTGCCTCTGGTTTCCATGGTGACAGCTCTCCTTTTGATGGAGAAGGAGGCTTCCTGGCACATGCTTATTTCCCAGGGCCGGGCATAGGGGGCGACACACACTTTGACTCAGATGAACCCTGGACGCTGGGCAACCCAAACCATGATGGTGAGAGAACGGCAGGTTAGGCCACATTTTCAATTTCAACAATTAACAAACAATAAAGTTGCCATTTCAGCAGGAATGCAAATGTGACAGAGCAGCTAAATCTTTAATGGCATCTGGAGACTTTTACAAGTACCACTGACAAATAAATGACTTTATGAAGTGTAATAGCTAAAACCAACAACAATTCTGCAAAACAAGACTCACTTAAAGTAATTAGTGCTATAATTTACAGGCTGAAATTAGTGTTTTAATGAACTTTTGTAGCTTTTTACACATGAGGGTGGAGAATTCACTAAACTGCTGCACCACCTGTTCATAGTATCTCAGCGGGGAATTTTCTAACCAGCTTAAGCAGCAACTAAATGTACTGAAGCCATTAGTAAAGTATGTAATTTGCTAACACCAATAAAGTTCTAAGTGTTAACATTAGTTGATGCATAGTAGCATATGTATCATGAATATTACTTTTACAGCCATATTTATGATCATTGGCAGGGCAAAGTAATAGCAGTGGATTCTGTACAAATTTTGTTTTACAGACCCCAAGTTAGCACAGACGCTACCAAATCTAACATTCACATAAACACTGTTTCTGAACTTGATGAAATGCCTACTTTGTAGTCTTTCAGGAATGAACACATCACAATATTAATCATTTAAATAATTCCTGCCCAAGGCATTTGCAAAAAGGGGCAATGCCTGGTTGAGTTGCATTAGAAGTGTGTTCAAACTTGCGGTTATGGTAAGTGGCGGGACATTTCGGAAACAGGCTTGAAGCAGTTGACTTAGCACAACACACTGGTCCACAACTGACTGATTAGAGTACATGTATTTACCGGAAGAAGTGGTTTCATAGAGACTGGAACTAAACAGAGCGTCACTAACAGACTGTGAAGAGAGTTGCTGCAACAATGTCAAATATGTGAAAAATAAGGTTTTTTTTCTTCTGAACATTCAAGCATGAAACCCTATCCTAGTAGACACCAAAGACAAAATCAAGACATTACAAAAGGGCATAATAGGTCCCCTTTATAATGATTGTTTTCTATTTTTAACATATTTTAAAAAGTAACATTTTTCCTGTGATGCAAAGCATCTCGGGTTACGAATGTAACCATGGTTCCCTGAGAAGGGGAACGAGACACTGGGTCCTAGGATGCCAATGGGGAATGCCTCTGGCATGACCGGTGTCAAAGAACGACAATAATATTGGCCGGCGACAGCCTATAACCTTCTCAGGGAGCCATGGTTACATTTGTAACCCGTGTCATTCCCTTTTGAATGGGAACTCGCACTGCATCCTAGGCACTAATGGGAAACGAATGCCCAGGAATGCTGAAGGAATGTGACGTATGACTGACATTAGTCAGTGAATTCTACGCAATGGATCCGGAGTCACCGTAGCAGTGCTCACCAGTGGTCGTTGTGACTCAATTCCCTAGGGCCAGACACCCTGGCTACATAGAGCTTAGCTCAGGGCCTGTGCCCGGTTGCATAAAGCACCTTAAGTTTTTCCCTTAAGTATGATACTTAAGGGGCGATTTACCCTTACCTAAGAGAACAACTTAAGGGTGTTTCATATAATCTCTTAAACGGTTCTCTTAGGTAAGGGAAACATTTAAGTGTTTCACGACAGCGATCCTGGATTCACGTTATAAAAGTCTGTTGTTGCCATAGATACGCAAAACACTAACATGTCGGAATATCACGTGTCAGTCCAGTGACGCTATCACGCAACACCGCGTTAGCTCCGAACGTGACGGCAGTTTGTGTTGTTCACCGTCTCATGCTTTGGCATTTGTTTAGGTATTGTGAATGCACTTCTGGCTCTGTGTCTCGAAATACAGCTGAGTATATTTCCATAGCATACCTGTTTTCTTCTGTCATGATTCCTTTTAAAACACAGAATCAGCTCGTTCTCCTGTGAATTTTTTGTCGGCCACACACTCTCCGTGCGCGCACTGACTTAACGTTGTGATAGTTTACATGCGAGTCGCATGTAATGACAGACAGACAGCCGTCTAGTTTGATAGCGATGTCAAATATTGCGCGTCGATCAAATCGGTATTCTTGCAACAATTTTTCATGGCTAAATTGGTCCAAAGGGTTCTCCCTATTCCCTATGATCTTCAGCTGGTTTCATAAATTCAGCCATGTCGTCTTATTTTTGTCCGCGTTACTCTTAAGGTTACGATTTCCAAACCTTAAGTTATACTTAGGGAAATTACCGTTAAGGGGTTTTATGCAACACTTAACGATTACTTAAGTGAAAAAACAGCATTTAAGGGAAATTCTAAGTGTTTATGACGTTTCACTTAAAAAAAAACGTTAAGTAACACTTAAGGGTATTTTTCTGCAACACCCTTAGGTTTAAGGGAAACATAAGGGCCACTTTAAGGGAAAATTACACTTAAGGTGCTTTATGCAACCGGGCACTGGTATTCAAAGAATACCTTAAACTGAATATGGCCAAGGATATAAATATATCCAGCCAGTCGCCACAGCGGACACACCCCTGACGAGTGGAGGTCTCACGAGGGGAAACCTAGCAACACTCAGGGGAGCTCTCAGAGCGGAGGCCTCAGCAAGATGACTCTCTAAAGCGAGAGAAGGCCTAGCTACGGTCTACGCAAAGGATTGCTTACAAGGAGGCTAAAAGGAGCCTAAAATATATGAAAACTGCTATCCAGGCGGAGCTCTGGGGGCGGAGGCCTCAGCAAGACTACTCTCTAAAGTGAGAGGAAGTTAACTCTAAAGTTAACCAGGGAGGATCCAAAAAGAGCCTATAACCAAATTATCCATGAAGATAGGTTTCAGATAACAACCATCTATAGTGGGAAAACCTAACTACGCTCTGCGCTAAAACACCACCTCACCAAGGAGGCTCATAGAGTGCCACACAACTTGGAGCGGTTATCTAATGCGGAGCTCTGGGGAGCGGAGGTCTCAGCATGACGACTCTCTAAAGCGAGAGGAGACCTAGCAACGCCAACCAGTTAACCAGGGAGGCTCAAAAGAGCCTACAGCCCAGTCTACTGCCTCCAAGGAGCACTCAGAGCAGAGGCTTCAGCATAATGACCCTCTACAGCGAGAGGAAGCCTAGCTATGCTCTACACTAAAAGACCAGCCAAGGAGGCTCACAGAGAGCCTTACAACTCAATACTGCTATCCAAGCGGAGCTCTGGGGAGCGAAGGTCTCAGCAGGATGACTCTCTGGAGCGAGAGGAGGCCTAACAAAACTCCACCTTATAGACAGTTCCACCAAGGAGGCTCACAGAGAGCCATACCACTCAATGTCACTGTCTATAACGGAATTATGCTGAAGTCAGAACGAGCTCATTACAGGGAGCGGAGGACCTTGCCCATAACAGGGACGGTTCTATTCCATGCTCATCCTAAATGACCAATGGGAGCTACCAGCTAAGGCTAGCTACAACCATTGTAAAACCTGTAAAATTATTTGGTCTCTAGCACTCTGAGGTGGCGTACAACAGGAGGGGTTCGCCCAAGGCAAACAGAGACCAGAAGAGCTCCCAGCAATCCTTGATCACAGATCACAAGAAGTATCCTCAACTGAGACACCAGCAACAAACCTAGCTCTAGGGAGTTGGGAATCCTACTATTGAAAACTACCATGAAAACAGTGCCATCAAGGGGAGCCAGCTGAGTGCTAGCTGTGACCACTCGGAAACGATTCTCTGGACTGAGTATGATGACATCATTGACACTTTTTATAATCGTCCTTGTTGACTCATGTAAAAGGTAATAATCACAATGCTATGTTGTAGGCTGTTATGTCTGTTCTGCTGAAACGATGAAGTAAATATGCTGTTTTAAATGTGTGCAGGTGTTATAGGTGTTAAGCTATATATTAGTTGCCCCCTCATTTTAAGAAGGGACCCCCCAAAAATTAAATTTCTGGCTACGCCCCTGCTTCGTAGGATCTCAAAAACTCCAAACACTCCCGAAGGTGCCTTATGACAAAGAAGGGTTCACAACCTGTGGCGAAAACCCACTTACTGTCGGGTTCTCGAGACCAAACGAGCTCATGCCAGGGACTGGAAGACCCTGCTCCAAGACCCGACTCAGGGGGAGGGTTCTGTGCTTCAGTCAAACCCGAGGAAAAACGGAATGAACAGTCACTTTTTTGAACAGTAATGTATAAATAAGTGTTAGATTTTGTATGGTCTGTGCTAACTTGAGATCTGTAAAAATGTTTTCTGCAAGATGGTATAGATCAAATCTAATGATCATTGCTTTAATTGGTATCTCTGTTCATGTGCTTTTGCATTTACTTCGATTACTAAAATAATAAATTTTTATTAATTTTACTACAGACATGACAGCTTTCTATTACTACCCATAGAATCATGTGGTAAACTGGATTGTACTGGTTTCTCAAACTTTTCTAATGATCATGGCAGTAAATGGTGGTCATATATCCAGACATATATCCATGTGAAGTGGTCAAGCGCACTTTTGACTTTTCACGAGTCTATTCTAGATCGCATTGGTGGAATGAAGTTGCACAGTCCCGATAAAACCGGCCTGCGAGATGGGGAATTGTGCCATGCAAATAGTGTTCAGCACATTTTTGAGTCATGGTATGATTTACATATTTCCTTTAGTGAATCAGGGGCTAAAACAAGGCAAGTAAACAATGCTATCATTGGTCTCAATTGATTCTTAAGTTATTCTTCCCTGAATAAGTCTGTGTGTGCGCGTGTTCATGTTTGTGTGCATGTCAGGTGTCAGCTTTGTTTGATATGTAGTATTTGCATTACGGTTGCGCCCATTAAATGAGAGGTAATCAGATCCATCTCTTCACTGCGAGCCGCACTTAGAGGCACTCAGCTTTAATTACCTGGGCCGACTGGATGCAGAGAGCTTTTAAGATGCTCATCTCCTTTCACAAAATGTCTCAGTCGAGACAGTAATGAATGGCTGCGAATACATTCGCTACTGGCATGCCGCCTGCACTCTTCGGCTGTTTGTTTTGCTGCCGTCTCTGATGTTACACGTGCCTGGCATAATAGCTTCCCGTGGTTTCTGTCGGGCTTCATTAGAGTCACCACAGTCCATATGGACAACACTGTGGTTTTCTTTATGTTAAGGCTGATTGCCATCAGCATGTAATGTAGAATAAGCAGCAATTAGGGGATTATTTTTGATGAGTCATTTAGAAAGCCTCCACAACATTCATTCACTGTTACCAGATCTGTTTTGTGTGGGGTCAATGAAGACGACAAGATGACCCTTTACACAAAGTGCAAAAAAAAAAAAAGAAGATAGTTTACCCAAAGATTCTACATCACGTACTCACCCTCATGATGTTCTCCACCTGTATGACTTTCTTTCTTTCGTGAGTACAACACAAAATGAGATGAGTCAACTACTCTTTTGGTCACACTTTATATTAGGTGGCCTTAACTACTTACATTAAATACCTACATGACTATGGATTTACTTAGTAAATAATTCCCACATTTACTTCTGAGTTTGAAGAATGTTAGGTTTAGGAGTTAGGGTTAGAATTAATTTTTGGTTTAAGGGTTTGGGTTACAGTTAGAGGTAAAGTAACAGTGTAACAAATTGGTAATTAAATGAGTACTTTAAATGTAATTACAATCCACCAACATGAATGCACATAATAAGTAAATTGTATCAATTGGTTAAGTACATAGTAATAAAAAGCGTGACGACTCTTGTCTATACAATGAAAGTGAATGGAGATTTGAGCGTCAAGCTCCAAAAATGTCAAAAATGCACTATAAAAGTATCATAACAATAGGACATGTGGGGTTCTATATGGTTTTGAAACCAAACGAGCTTTGTGTAAGAAACAGATCTGAAATTTGGGTCTGTTCAGATATGTTGTTTGAATAAATATGCTAATGTACACTTTATAGCACAATTTAAAAACATTTTATTGTTACGGAAATAATATATTAGAATATTATACTTAAGTGCCAACTGAGTGTAATGTTTTCGGACAGATTAATTGCATGTTAAGTGCAATTAAATCTAAATTTATGATAGTTTAAATTCATATTAAAAGCAATTAAATGAATTTAAGAGTGCTTTTAACCCACTTACTGTAAGTAGGACTTACTGTAGGGTCATCTTTATATGTAATTTCATAATTACTTCTATGTTGTCTTTGAAATTTGGTGAAGGTGCACTGCCAAATGTCATGGCAAGCATTTGTGGTAAACTAAAATATACTTTAATGACATTTCGATCGAAACGTGTAAGTCGTGTATTTAAATTGATTTGTAATTACACATTTGTAATGATGAAGTTGCAATTTATTATGTATTTAAAATATATATAATATCGAATAACACATTACAGTTGAAATTATAATTATGATACTTTACATGTGCTTTAGTATGTTAGGCAACACATCAACATAAGTGTACTTTTTTGTTTAAAATGCACTTTAACATAAAAGTTTGACATTATTACAAAGTGTGTCTCTTTAAAATACACTTTATTTTATTTATATTATATTATGTGCCAGTACTCTTTTCAAAAATATAGGCCTACTTTTAATATTTTACCTGCACTACAAGGGAACATTTAAGACAATATTTTGGCTGAGAAGGATATCCTGCAGAACATTGTCATTCATCATTAGTTCAGGATAAAATATATTTCCAGTTTTGTTGTACGATAAAAAGCAATGTGGGAACTGTTTTGCATTCTGTTTCCAAAGCTACTGTTTCTGTCATGCCCACACACACCGTACACTTGCACATTACAACATTAAGATGGATCTCAGGTCAAGCACTTGTGTAGTGAGTCATAATGCCAGATGCTTTTCATAAATAAGAGCACAAGCAAAAACAACTACAACAAAGCAAATCCTGTGTATTGTATCTTCACTGTTGTTTTCTGCTCCCCAGGTAATGACCTGTTCCTTGTGGCGGTCCATGAGCTTGGTCATGCTTTGGGATTGGAACATTCGAATGATCCTACGGCTATAATGGCTCCATTCTATCAGTATATGGACACTGAGAGCTTCAAACTGCCTCATGATGATCTCCAGGGCATCCAGAAAATATATGGTGTGTTTAAACCTGTTTACAGCATTACTATTACAATTTTTTTTTTCTTTTACAATCGCTAGGACACATTTCTCCATATCCGAGGCATATCTTGCTGCCCAGGTTATTATAAAAAACATGGTGGTGGACTTATTTGATTCAGACCAGTATGCAATTACCTTTCAACCAATCAGAGCAGCCTAGCAACACCTCAGCAAACACCCGTAATACCCAAACAACCACATAGCAACACACTAAAAACATGTATATTAAAAAAAGTTTTAATTTGTATTTTGTTACTAAACTTTCAAGTATTTAACAGAATTTTAAGTGGCATAAGAAACACAAGCATATCCTTTTTTCTAATCGTTTGCAAATATGTTAAATAAGGGACATTGAAAGTGATGTTCTATTTTTGATTTATTCAAAGACATATTAAAAATGCAATTTATACATACAATGACATACCTTTTATGATGAGCATGTTTCACCATCCTGATGTCATACTGAAGAAAAAAGCCTTTAAAAATAAATAAATAATTGAAAAGAAATCTGTATGTATTCCCATTACTACATGGAGCAGCCAGTTTCAAGTGATTAAACAAACTATGCAAAAGCAGAAGCCCGTCCTGCGCACTCAGCGTCTGAATTCACTCACTTGTTTTCATTCACTCCTTCAAGGGAACTCTATTAGTGGAGTAATGTAGGGAACAGTGAATAGGGGGCACACTGCTAATGGTTAAATCATTGCATTTCTTGAAAATCGTATAATAGTTTTTCACAACCACATGAAATACAAAGTGTACATTTATTTGCCACATGTGTTTTCATCTAGATTTCGAAAAGAGTTTTTCCTTTTCTTGACACCCTTATGTGTGATTTGAATTCTTCATTACTTCTGCAGGTCCTCCAGACAAAAACCCTCAGCCAACACGATTGCTCACGACCGCTACGCCTCCTCGCCTGCACCCACCGACTGACCCTCGAAAGCAGGACCGCCAGGGTCGCCCTCATCGCCCTCCGCAGAAGTCCAAACCCGCCCACCCCAACTCCAAACCCAACATCTGCGACGGAGGATTCAACACTCTGGCAATCCTACGACAGGAGCTGTTTGTCTTCAAGGTATGACTGATGAACAGCTTCACAGAGAATTAGTGCGTTATAAATTGTGTGTTTCCTAACACCAGTGCGCTCTTATTAGGATCAGTGGTTCTGGAGGGTGCGAGATAATTCTGTGGTGCCTGGATACCCAATGCAAATAAGCTACTTCTGGAGAGGTCTGCCTCCCAAGATCGATGCTGTCTACGAAAACAGCGAGGGGAGATTTGTCTTCTTCAAAGGTAAGACGTGTCTCCTTCTGACTTTTAAATCTTACAGCCTAAATTTAGACGTGAATATGTGGTTATAAGGAGAGGCCTCGGCTTTCAGGGTCAGTTAAAACTGTGCAAGCTTGTTTCTGCCAAGGTAATTGCGACCTTTTTATCTCATAATTCTATTTCTGTCATGACAACTCCCTGAGAGATTGGCATGGTAATGGATGTGGCAATGTTAATGTATTGACGGAATAGATCTGCTACGCTGCTGCAGAGCAAGTACCGAGACTTGCTACTGTTAATACATTCACATTCACATACACACCTGCACATGCAACATACATGAAATAACCCCCGTAGCAGATCTATACAGGTGGAGCTGGGGAAGGTGGAGGGTTTCTGAAGCGCACTGCAGACTGCTAACAGCAAACAATGCCAAGTATTTGAATCATGAGCAGCAAGCTCATTGGCTGCTGATGCCACAGCAACCAATCAGCTGCGCTATGTAGATAACGATGTGATCGCTAACAAATTGAGTTAAGGATCTATCAGCCATCTGGAGTTTCATGACAGAAATTTGTATTTTTGTAGTTTTTTTTCTCAGAATTCAGTTTATATCTCGCAATTCAGACTTTACAACACAATTGCGAGTTAATGTCTCACAACTCTGAGAGAAAATTGCGGGATATAAATTCTCGCAATTCTAAGAAACAAAGTCAGAATTGCTAAAATTCTGAAAAGTCAGAAGTTTATATCTCACAATTGCGAGTTTAAACCCTGTAATTCTGACCTCTTTTGTTTTTCTCAGAATTGCGAGGTATGAACTCACAATTCTGAGAAAAAACGTCAGAATTGTGAGACACAAACTTTTTTTTACTTTTTTTTTCCGTGGTGGAAACAAGCATTCTTAAAAAGCAGCCATAATTGTCATCAGTTGTATTAGTATTCAAATTATTATTATTATGAGAAGACAATGCCATTTATTTAAACACTTTAGTCAATCTTTTCCATTTCTCCGTATCTCCGAAGGCAACCGGTTCTGGGTGTTTAAGGATACAACTCTGCAGCCCACATATCCTCAGAACATTTCTCTTTTTGGCAATGGAATGCCTACGCAGAGCATTGAAACCGCTGTTTGGTGGGAAGATGTGGCCAAAACCTACTTCTTCAAAGGAGATAGGTCAGTTTTATAGCTTCCAGGCACAGTGTACAATAGGACCCAGTGGAAACCCCCTTCACTGGATTGTTCCATAACGTCAGAGACCGATTTTTCTTTCTCTGTCTACTGTTACAGGTATTGGAGGTACAATGAGGACATGAGGACCATGGACCCTGGATATCCAAAACCTATTACTGTGTGGAAAGGCATCCCAGACTCTCCACAGGGAGCCTTTGTGGACAAAGCCAATGGTAAGACATCGAAATGATCCCAGCTAACTGTGAAGTGCCTTGTAATAATACTGGAAATCAAAATGAATCATTGTAAGTGCCATAATTGCATTTTCATTGGTGCCAGGGTCTGGTGGTTGGCACATAATGCTCAGACACACTGAGATATGACTTTTTATGTGGGTGGTGCAAGTTTGAGTATTCTTACATTTTATACTCTTTTCAGTAAAACTGGAAAAAGCCCCCAAATTTTTTATTTTATTTTTTATATTTAATATATATTTTTAATTACAAAGTGAAATATTATGTTTCGCTTAACTAAATCAACACATTGAGATTTATAAAACCAGGGACATTTCCTAGTTCAATAATAATAATTATTATTATTATTAATTATTATGATGTTTGCAGGTCTAACTGGTTTTAATACATTTCACCAAAAATCACACAATTAAAAATACCAAAGAATAAACATATTCTATATACAGTAATTATATATTTTTAACTTTTCAAAGGTGATTTTATATTTGTGCTTTTGGGAAATGGATCATTGGCTAAAATCTAAGGCTAATTAGGCTTATTATTTTGCATTTTAGGCTAATTTTAAGCACAAAGTACATGCATTCTTCAAAATATAATTGTTTAGTGGGTTTATTATTATTATTTTATATCAGGTGTATTTTCTCCACTGTGTTAAGATGTGTGTGTGTGTGTGTGTGTAACCTTATAACTTATATACTTATAACCTTATAACCATAATGCTCTGCTCTCATCCGGCTTCAGTTTATCAAGGCTAAAATAGTGGCGTGCGACCAAGAAACCTGGGACAGTACCCAGAAAACGGATGTCTGGTCACCTTACCCCACATTTAAATGTTGTTTAGACACCTGAATGTAGACTGAAACTCTTTCCAGCCTAGAATCCCCTCAGAGGCGCAGGGTTTAAGTAATTGGCTCACTCTGAGGTGCTGAGCTTCAGACTTTGTGTTGGTGACAACTGGCAGAAGATAAAAAGTTTCTTTAAACTTGTATATGATGGTTGTACTCTGTACTCAGTAGTGAGTCCTCACCTGATCTCTGAGCTCCTTCGGTGTGATAATTGGCCTCACTGTGGCTTCTCTCAACAATCTCTTGTGAGTTTTTGAGGAACAACTAGTTCTAGGCAGCATTTGGGTGATTTATAACTTCAACTTCTACTTCCTCATAATTGAACCAATAGTTGCCAAATGGGAGCTTCAAAAAAGGTTTGGTAGCTTTTTACTAAATGTATACCTTTGTTTTACTTTAATCGGAATGGTCTTTGGTATGGTACATGGTACCATGGTACATTCTAAAAGTAATGTTAAATTTTCATTTCAAGTATATAATAGTGCTGTCAATCGATCAAAAAAATTGAACTAATTAATCGTATTTTCTTTAATTAATCACGAAAGTTTTTAATATATTTTTATACTGTAATAAGTTTGCATTCAATCTCGAAATTAACGTAGAAACAACATTAAGATAGTAGTTTATATTTTAAATATTTGTTTAATGGCATCTTTTTTATGAAAGAAGGCCAGTATCACTGATACCAATACTGTTACTGATGTCTCTATGAAATATATTTTTTTCTCTCTCTATTTTAGCCCTGAATAGGCATTCAGCATTAGAGTATAATTGAAAGCTGAATTTTTGACATTTATTAGGCTTTAAAAAATATAACAACTTTTAATTTAAGTGAACTTAAAACAATCTTCTCATCAACCCATTAATAAATGTCATATTTACCTGTGCCCTTCAATATATCAGGGTTCAACTTTTCTATTGGCCCAGTCAGACCACTTCAGATTGTTACTTGCCCTGTCAAAATGCACAAAAAGTTATTGTTTTCATTGTTTTTGACCCATGTAACCTTGTAAACATTGCTTTAAGATTTTCAGGTAGGTTTAACAGGTAGGATATATACAGAAATTGAAAAAAGTTATCAAACACTTCACAGTCTTCACTGCAAAAATTAATTTAAATTTTTTTAAATTAAATATAGATGAATCCGTCTTAAAGCTGTGTTATTCAGTCAAGAGCAGTTTTTTGTCTTTTGTTCATTGATTAACAGTAATGACAGACATCACAGCAGCAGGTTTATTAGGCTGCTGTCACTTTAAGACCAGCCACACATGATGCGGATCCTTTTTCACACAACTCTTTAAGGACATTAAGACTTCATTTAACTCATTTAACTATGCTTGCAAGGATACTTGACAAAAGGTGCATTTTGGCATTATTTAGTGTGTTTTGTCCATTCAAGCGTGGTCTAAAGCAGCTTTCTGGTGAGCACAAGAAAGTATCATACAATTTAATAGGCCTATAATTATAGTAACATATAATTGACTTCTAATTACATTCTTTTATTACCCAAAAATCATTGTACAAGCAATGACTGGATTGGTTGAAATTTCTAAGAATATCATATGGTTATGTTTTCCAATATGTGTGGTTCAATATGAGCTGTCTTCCTTCTTCCCTAAGGATTCACATACTTCTACAAGGGGAAGGAGTATTGGAAGTTCAACAACCAGCGGCTGAGAGTGGAGCAAGGCTACCCTAGGTCTATCCTGCGGGATTTTATGGGCTGCGACGGTTACACAACCGACCCCGACTGGGACTGGAGCTCCCCACAGGAAGAGGAACCGCCGCAGTATGACCACGATGATGACGTTGACATCGTGCTGAAGCTGGAGAGCAGTGGTGGAGCAGAGAAAGCGGTGGCCATTGCCATCCCATGTGTCCTGGCTCTGTGCATGATGGTGTTGCTTTACACCGTGTTCCGCTTCAAGAGGAAGGACACGCAGCGCCACATACTGTACTGCAAGAGATCCATGCAGGAGTGGGTCTGAGAAATTGAGGTCCCACTCCCACTGAAAAAACTATTTCCGTCTTAAAAATCCCCTCAAAGGTCAAAGTAATTGGCAGAAGTGAAGGACGGCATAAATGGACAGCATGCCAACTTCCTTCTGGTCAGCCTTTGAAGGTGGCAATGTGTTGTTTTTGTATGGTTTTGGAACTCTGTGTGGCTTTGGGCGGCCATTTTGGTTCCCAGAGTCCTGTGCCGGAGTGAACTCTTACTCTACAAACCATAATTATCAACTTTTCAATTGACTCAAGAATTATTTATCTTCAGACTGCTGATCTCGATACTCCATGTAACATGCGAAATCACCTGTCACTCCGAAATACTTGCTTGTGTCGAAAAACTGATACCCAAACCAAATATGCCCTTAGTGTCCAAAGAGGATTGCTTCATTCACATGGGATATCCTGAGATGACTGGATTATCCATCATTATTTGAGTTCCATTCAGCTGCGTTCATCTGCAGAATATATGGGATCTGTTCGCTTGGAAATCAGAAAGGGCCTTGACATAATAACATTGGGGCTACATGCAATATTTCGTCGAATGCCTTAATCACATATTGAGTTTATTTTTCTGTATGTTGGTGTACATGTGCCTGTGTGAATGCGACCCCTTTCCATTACTTCATTTTTTCATCACTGTTCTTTTGACGCTCTGCTGACCAATGTGAACTTGCAGTACGATTTAAAGGGCCGCTGACTGTTGAAAAGTTTAAAAACGAGTGTATGGCTGCCGTCCATGTTCTGTACTGCTGCATTTTTTTCCACACTTCAAACCACAGCATAGAAAATTAGACTTTTGGGTAAGTGCTTCCAATCAAATCGTAGAGAATTAATTAAGTAAAAGGATGGCGTTTAGCAGAAATTCCTAATGAACCTTCCTGATGCTCTTAAGAATCAATAGATTATCAATAAAAACCACTGAAATGAGCTATATTTGCATTTCCTGAAGAACATACTTGTGCTTGCAAGGCAGCAAGAGAATAGTGTTAAGGTTTGGGGTAAGTTTAGCTTTGGTTCAGTGAATGAAATGCTGCATCAGAGCCACTTACTGTGTGAATCTTCTGTTGGCCGTCTTCGAAAAACAACCTGTAATGTAAGATTGTCTTTGCAGTGTAAAGTCCACTCCGGTTTAGACGCGAGCGCTTAGCATATGCGCACAGCTGATCGTATAGCTTACATTTTATAGCAAGGCGGTTCAACACAGGCTGACTAGAAAGTTTGATCTTTGTGGTGTGCCTGTGCTATTTCTTAACAGAAGTTATGATTGATTACATTTCTTTGTATCTCTTTATTCACTCACACACGTGCTTGTCAACACCGGCATTGTTTTCGTGGTTTCCAGTGGTTTGTTGCTGTTGTTGTGTTTTCTCTTCTGATTCTTTTTTTTAGACAGCGTCGGCACCTTGTAGACCATCTAATTAGTGCAAAGTAATTGGTAAAAAAAATGTGCGAGATGAGCGTACAGAGTACACGTAGTTAGAAAAATAGGGCAGCATGCGTACAGCAGTGTTGAGGGTAACACATTACAGGTAAAGTGAGTTACATCAACAGATGACTTTTTTCAAGTAACAAGTAAAGTAACATGTTACTTTTAAATTTACAACAAAAATAAGAACATTTTCAAATAAGTAACGCAAGTTACTTTTTTGGTTACACTTTTTTTTGCCGTAGTTACATTGTACTTACTCAAATAAGTACTGAGTAATATTAATTAACTACATGTACTAACTATAGAGTTAGGTTTAGGGTTTGGTTTGGTAAGTTACTTGTAATTATGAATAATGTACTGTTATTACTATAGAAAGTACATGTAGTAACGTGTAACTACGTCACCTGAAAATAAAGTGTTACCACTTTTTTTCCCCCTATTTATTGAAGGCATCCTTCCCCAATCCAGAATGGCAGCACAGATGAAAGGTTTGTTTGAGATGCGCCCTCTACTGTACAGGCGTGAATTTTTTACTTTTGCCCAAAAATTTTACTTTAAAAAAATAAGCAAGCCCTGCACAACCCGATCTCACGTCCAATTCGTCCAAATTTGACGAGTGATTAAAAGATGGCTAATTCATAACAATTCGTACGACCTCACTCGTACGAATTAGTACGATTTTTGCTAAATCGTACATATTTGACGAGTTTCCCAATTCGTATGAATTCGTACGAATGACCTACCCCTGACCCCGCCCCTAAACCTACCCAACACGTGGGTTTAGACAAATCGTACAAATTCGTACGAGTGAGGTCGAGTGAGGTCGTACGAATTCGTACGAATTAGCCATCTTTTAATCACTCGTCAAATTCGGACGAATTGGTCGTGAGATAGCGTTGACAGGTGAGACACAGTAATGCAAAGGTAGTGTAACATTACTTCCCAATAAAAGTTACTAAGTAACGCAATTAGTTACTTTTTTAAAACAATATTGTAACACATTACTTTTAAAAGTAACTTTCCCCAACACTGGCGTACAGTATGCAAAATGATGCCAAGAATGGGCCAATCAGGATGCAGGATGCCTATTAATGTCCATTTATCATTATTATTAATACACAAATCACTTTTTTTGTGATAATAAATGGCTGACTGTACATTATTCCACTTTATTTTTCACGGCTAAAATAAAGAAACTTTTACATGAAATAAATAAAATACGTGGACAGAAAAAAATATTGATTTGAATTTTATAAATGTACCTTTATATTATCATGTAGCTTCTGCTAAGAAAACATGGTCCATTACATTACAGATTTACAATGCTGTGATTTACCAATCAGAAAAGAAGAATCTTAACTTTTTGTGTGAAGTTAATTATTACAGTGCTGCCTTGCAAACACCCAATGTTTATCTGGTAAAGTCCACGCTTGAGTGTCATAAAATGCTCTTTTCAGGCATGGGTTTGGGTAAAATAGCATTTGTCGCACCGCTAAAAGGAAACTAAGATACTGCAATCAGAGGAATAGCTTTACTGCTTAATGATGACCATGTGAAAATATTTTGTTAGCATAATCATTCTCAGAGCATATATATCTGTGACTGAACACATCAAATGTTGCCGTTTTATATTCCATTTTGAGTGTTTCTTGGAAGTGGTGAATATTGTCACATGTCTTGTTTTATCTTTTCTTCTAAGAACTGATCTATAATGGACTATGGTGTTTCTCACCATGCCATCAGCATCAGCCATCCAGTTGAACAATACTGAGACGGAAACATGAATTTCCATGTGTGAACTGTTGCTTTCATTATTACCAGAAGAACATCTCAAGAATATGCCCCATTCTACCTTTGAGGTCACTTGGATGCGGATCTGAACATGCTGTATATATATCTAATGTAGTGTCTTTATTACGGACATGAAAGGCAAATTATGCAGTACGTCAATAATAAGATATTATCTAAGATGTGGCGTGTGAATCATTCTTGTGAGCTCTAATGAAGAAGTTAACAAAATGTATCAGGCAACCATAAGACATTAACATGTAATTTATCACTGAGATTCATGAAAGGTTGTTTGGATGATATAATTAAACAATTATATATTAAATAATAGTGTTGTCTCATGAAAATATTGTCACAACTTTATATTGTAATGGGGGAACTTCAGTGAGGTCTTGGGCTCGGTAAGTTTTATTATGTTTTTGAAAGAAGTCTCTTTTGCTCACCAAGGCTGCATGATCAAAAATACAGTAGAAACAGTAAAATTGTGAAATATTACAATTAAAAATAACAGTTTTCTATTGTCATATTAAAATGTAACTTATTTCAGCATCATTACTCCAGTCTTCAGAGTCACATGATCCTTCAGAAATCATTCTGATATGATTATTTGATGCTCAAGAAACAATTCTTATCATTATCAATGCTAAAAACAGCTGTGCTGCTTAATATTCTTGTGGAAACTGATACTTTCCCCCCCAAAGAACAGCATTTGTTCTAAATACACCTCTTTTGTAGCATTAAACGTCAGTCACTTTTGATCAATTTAATGCATCCTTTTGCTGAATAAAAGTATTCATTACTTTCAAAAAAGAAATGTGCTGACTTTTGAACGGTAGTGCATTTATATATTTATAATATACTATAAACTTAAACTATTTATATATAACTTTGGCGCAGGATATTTTTATTCGCCCTGTTACACTGCAATATTGTGCAGATACACCACTGCCTATTTAAACAAGGGCAGTGTATCTGCACAATATTGCAGTGCAACAGGGCAAATATACTCAATCTAATATAATAACCAGCTACGCTGATGTATTATGTTCCTCCACCCCTTTGCTCACCTCACCCTGAAATGCAGTGACTGTAAAATAGGTCACACTCATGACTTCCATTTAGTGTGAAGTTCTCTGCAATGTAAAACAGAGTGTGTAATTGAAATGAATCTGGTAGAGAGCAGATTGCAGGTGCTGCCTGGTTCACTGCATCTCAGAAGAAATTTAAGCACTGAGGTTCACGCTAAAAGGAAAAGGTTAGTGAACACTGGAAAGAAAACCATTGGCATTTCACTGGTCCGTAACCCTGAAATGCATTTGTGAAAAAATGGGTCGTTCTGAAGAGCTCAGTGAATGCAAGCGTGGTACTGTGATTGGATGCCACCTTTGGAATTAGTCAGTTCATGAAATTTCATGCCTGCTATATATTCGGTCAACTGTAAGTGGTATAATTGGAAAGTGGAAGCATTTAGGAACAGCATTAACTCAGCCATGAAGTCGAAGATCACATTTAGTCATAGTGTGTGGGGTCACTGAGTGCTGAGGCGCATGGTGCATAAAAGTCACCAGCACTCTTCTGATTCCACCGCTGAAGAGTTCAAAACTTCCACTGGCATTAATATCAGCACAAAAACTGTGCGGCGGGAGCTTTATGTAATAGGTTTCCATGGCCGAGCAGCTGCATGCAAGTCTCACATCAACAAGTACAATGCGAAGCGTTGGATGGTGTGGCGTAAAGCATGCTGCCATAGGAGCAGAGGAAACATTGTCAAAACACGCTTCTCAGTTTGGCAGTCTGATGGGTGAGTATGGGTTTGGGGGATACCAGAAAACTGTTACCTGCCTGACTGCACTTTTCAAACGGTAATGTTTGGTGGAGGAGGGATAATGGTATGGGCTCTTTTTCAGGGGTTGGGCTATGGCCCCTTCTAGTGTAACCGAAAAGTTTCCTTCCCATGTTGACACTTTGGAAACATTCACCCACTATGCCATACTGAACAAATGCCTGGCCAATCGTTGTGAATCATAACAAGCTCAAAAGCTTAAGGGTGTATTCACACCAGAAAAGTCCGATAGGTCACTTGCTTTGGTCCGGACCAAGTACATTTTTTTTTTTTTTTTTTTTGGTACGGTTCGCTTTCACACTGCTCTTTTTGCGAGTGAACCAAAATTTGTAAACAAAACCACACGTGAGCTAAGGTCGTCCATTCATTGGACAAGGATTCTCAAGTAGGGAAATCAGGAAGTGCAAAAAAGGCTTAACGTAAATTAACGCAGCATTATCCTTGTATTATAACTATCGTTAACATGAAATATAACTATCGCGATTAGACGAAAGAGAACGCTCTGTATGTGAATGTCCTGATGCACACACTCATTCATTCATTCCATTCCAATGATGCACACACGACGCGCAGAAAGACGCGCAACAGATGTAATGTAGTAGGCTACAACAGATCACTTTCCCATAACGCAACTCCGACTACGGAAGCCTGTTAACTCAAAGGCGCAGTGCTTTCTTGCAATTGGGTCGGTTCATGTTCACACCGTAAACGAACCGTACCAGAGTTCGTTTGGAACCGTACCGAGACCACCTCTTCAGCTGGGTCTCGGTTCGGTTGTTTGGTCCGCACCCGAGTTCGATTGCTGTATTCACACCTGCCCAAAAGGTCCGAACCAAGGGGGGAAACGAACTAGAGTTCGATTCAATCGAACCAAACAAGGTAGGTGTGAATACACCCTAAGAGAGCCTGGGGT